TAGTAACCCAGGTTGCCTTCCTCTGTCGCAGGGCGTGTAGTCCTCTCTTGAGTGTATTTCAACAACAGGACATGGCCAGTCCTCAGTGCTCTGCCTTGTGGTTGAGCGGCAGGGGTGATTGTGTAGCTTTAGTGATAGGATAGACCAGGATGTGTCTGGGCTGGTTTGCACAGGGCTGATCCTGCCTCAGGCAGGGGGTTGGACCAGTTGTGACCTCTGGAGCTCCCTGCCAGGCGTACATTTCTAGGAGTGCAGACCAAGGGTTTGTGACGAACCTTTAGATCAGACAAACCACTGGTACAAAGGTGCTTTGGGGACTGCTGTTTACACGTGTGTGTGTCTGTCTGTTCATCTTCTTGCTGTCTCTTTTTAGGTTTCTGCTCCTCCCTGGAGGCCTGTGAACTTGTCCTCTCCTTTTGCGGAGTCTTTTGTGGAGCTAAAAACTCTACTGTCTTTCCTTGTCACTGTGAATGCAAAGCTGCTAATGTCTGCATTTAAGCTGATGTCCTGGGAAGTACCCCGTGAACGAGAGAGAGAGAGAGTGTGTGTGATGCTGTTCCTCGATCCTCCCTGCCCAGCGCTCCTGCAACAAGGACGTTTGTCCTGAGGTCAAATCTAAATCAACTTGGCTGCAATTTCAGGCTGTTGCTTTGCGTCCTGCTCTCTGCAGCAGGGGTGGAAAGTCCTTCTCTGTCTTTGACAGCCTTTCAGGGATTTGAATGCTTGTACCCGGCCACCCTCCATCTCCTTTCTTCCAAGCTAAATGTTGTACTCTCACCTTTTCCTCCTACCATTTCCCTCCCAGCTGCTTTGTCCTTTTTGTCACCTGCCCCGGACCATCTCCACCTTCTCCATATCCTTCTTAAAATGTGTATGTGTTTTACAGTACACCATACTCTGCAAGGCCTAACCAGCACCGAGTTAAGTAACACTGTCCCCATCACTTAATACTTCACTACACCCGGTATGGCTGCCTCAATGCACCTGTTGATACAGCCCAGAATGACGGCTGCTTTTTTGGGGAGGACAGCATTGCACTGCTGACTGCCGTTTAATGTGCAATGCACCAAAGCCCAGATCCTTCTCGGCATCACCATTACCCAGCCAGTCGTCTCCTGTCTTGCCTTTGTGCTTTTGGTTATTCTCCCCCAGGTGCAGCACTTTGCATTTGCCTCTGCTGAACCTCATCGTTTTGTCTCTGGACCAGCTCCTCCGTCTGTCAAGGTCCCTCCGTTCTCCAGCGTTTGCAGTGTGTCACCTGCAGACTTGTTCAAGAAGCCCCTGGCGGCTGAATTGTTAATAAACATGTTTAAATCGCATTTTAGTGAGTGGTCTTTGCCAGGTCTCTGCCTCTTTCTTGCCTTGCTCTAATCTAAAAAAAATGGCTCTTAGGGGCCGGCTCCGACACCTTCCAGCTCTCCTGCTGCTTGGTCTGGGCATGCATTGCATTTGAGTTTGGATGCTTTGCTTCGCAGCAAAACATGGACCGGTTTGTGTCATGCTGGGCCTTTGAGGGGATGCTCTGCAAGGCAGAAGATGGGCATGTAGTCTCCATGTGTAACCCCATGGTGCAGGGGAGTCAATCTCTCTTAATACAGGGGTTTTAGTGCCAACACCTGTTTCATGCTTGATCCCTGGGAGAGCTGCACATTTTGGCCCTTTCACCTTTTTGGTTTTAATACTTTTCTAAGAAAGTTTTCAAGCCAAGGTCTTCCCCTCCCTCCCCTTCCCCACAGCCCAGGTCCACCAGTAATCCCAGCCCTGTGCTGGCCAACTGGGCAGAGAGGTGGGTCTGTGAGCTTTGGGCTCAAGGTAGTCTCCCAAAAAAGCTTGCTTAGCTGCTACCCCTGGTTCCTCTCAGACAGGCCAGGGCTTGAGGCTGAATGGTACAGAGGACACAAGACACACGCAGGATATTAGGAAAAACTTCCTCCCCAGGAGGGTGGTGAAGCACTGGAGCAGGTTATCTACAGAGGTGGGGGAGTCTCCATCCTTGGAGGTTTTGAAGACCTGGGTAGACAAAGCCTTGGCTGGGATGATGTAGTTGGGGCTGGTCCTGCTTGGAGCAGGGGGTTGGACTAGATGTGACCTCCTGAGCTCCCTTCAGCCCCCATTGTCTGATTCTGTGATTTTAGTCTTCTGGGGACGGATGTTTGGTTTAAGTTGGGCTTTAAGCTTGTTCCAGGGTGTCTGCAGGACACACTAGGAAATTTGGCCATCACACCAGATGACAAAGACAACATATTTAACGACTTCTTTGCCTCCATTTTCCTGAGCAGGGACCAAATCAGCCCCCCACCGGGCCCCCCTCAGGCCCCAGGGGAGACGCACGCAGGCCCAGGGTCAGGGAGGATCTAGTCAGGGAACATCTGGAGGGACTGGACGTATTTAAATCAGCCGGTCCGGACAATCTCCATCCCCGAGTGCTCAGGGAATTGGCCGCGGTCATTGTGGGACCCCTGGCACGGCTGTATGAGCGCTCGTGGTGCTCTGGTGTGGTGCCAGAGGACTGGAAGAGGCCAACATGGTTCCCATCTTCAAAAAAGGGAGGAAGGAGGACCTGGGAAACTACAGGCCCATTAGTTTTACCTCGGTCCTGGGTAAGCTTTTTGAGAGAGTTATCCTGGCGCATGTCCACGAGGGGCTGGGGGGGAAATTATGCTTAGGGCCAACCAACACGGGTTCATCAGCGGCAGG